ATGAATGTGAGTTAGGAACCTTAGATTGTACGCTCCTCGGGGGCGGGGACTGATGTGAATGTACAATATATATGTAAAACGCAGAGTACATTGTCGGCGCTATATAAGTACCTGAAATAAAGATGATATATATTTGTTTTTTTGATTGTTAGTGTATTTTTTTTTTTCCAAAAAGCTGTTTACCCACCTCTCCCACCTCAGCCAATCAGAAGAAGCGATGTAATCATTCACAGAATACAAAGCTTCCTGTGAATGGAGGAGCTGCACTCAGCCCAACTGCATGTTGTTCTGGGTGTGGAATGGGAAGTTGCCGAAACACTGCGCTGTATACTGGATGTAGCCGGAGGATATATACAGTAAATGCAGCACATTAACCGCTTCCATGCCGCCCTATAGCAGAAATACTGCTACAGGGCGGCACGGGCGTGCAAAATCACATATATGTACACACACACACGTTATTTTGCAGTTCCAGGAAGGGGGCGTGTGCGCGCCCTATCCACGCTGCCATTTGCGGCCTCAGCTGTCGATCATCAGGTCCCAGCTAGTGATTCCCCGCTGGCAGCCGGCGATCTCCGAGGATTACTGACGGGGGACAGACCTGTATGTACACAATACAGATCTCTCCCGTCAGCTCCTGCACACTGCATAGCAGAGCCATACAAAGCAGCATTCTTACAGTGAAGCACACACAGCACACAGGTAACCCTTTGATCACCCCAGATATTAACCCCTTCTTGTACAGTGTCAGTGCTTTTTATTAGCACTGATCATTGTATTTGTGTCACTGGGGGTGTCAGTGACACCAAGAACAAGTCAGTTCCCCCCCCCCGCCCAGTGTCAGAATGCCCGCCGCAGTCCCGCTATAAGTCGCTGATCGCCGCCATTACTAGTAAAAACAAAACAAAAAAATCCCCGTATCTATCCCGCCATTTGTAGACGCTATAACTTTCACGTAAACCAATTCATTTGCACGTATCGGGATTTTTATTAGCAAAGACACGGAGCGGGATATATTTTGGCTGAAATCTTTTAAATTTTTATATTGCATGTTTAATAGCAAAAAGTGAAAAATATTGTTTTTTTTTTTTCCCAAAATTGTCGTTCTTTTTTTGTTTATAGCGCAAAAAATTAAAAGCGCACAGGTGATCGCATACCACCGAAAGTAAGCTCTATTTGTGGGGAAAAAAAAGTAAATTTCATTTGGGTGCCGCATTGCATGACCGCACAATTGTAAGTTAACCCCTTGACGCCGAGCACACGCAAATATGCGGCCTCCCGGAGTCTGGGCCTTGACGCCAAGCGGCCGCATATTTGCGTACCATTTGAAAATACACATGTGCTGAAAGCGCATGCCCTGCACCCTCCCAGCACATATGTCGTTGTTTAGCGGAAAGCTCCCGATCTCCCCTTATGATTAGGACCTTTTCCGATCATGTGACTGCCGTGACAGCGAATCGTGGTGGTCACATGACCCTAAAACCGCGGCCTGCCTCCCAGCATCTGAAACCCCTTAAAGGGCCGGGAGGCGCAGGCGCAAAGGGGTTAAAGTAACATCGCCGTATCGTAAAAAAATGGTCTGGTCAGGAAGGGGGGTAAATCCTCTGAAGGGGAAGGGGTTAAAACACAAACAAAAAAAATTAAAATGGGCGGACGTGATGGACCACTTGGTCTTTTTCTGCCGTCACTTTGCGATGTTTCACGCGCACAGCAATCGCAACTATTAGCGCAGTAAATAGATCATCTGGGTCAGCTTGGCCAAAACAAACTACTTAACCCCTCGCCTCCCGGGCACTTCTACCCCCTTCCTGCCTCCCGGGCGCTTCTACCCCCTTCCTCCCTACAGGGCGCTTCTACCCCCTTCCTGCCTACCGGACGCTTCTACCCCCTTCCTGCCTCCCGGGCGCTTCTACCCCCCTTCCTGCCTACAGGGCGCTTCTACCCCCTTCCTGCCTACAGGGCGCTTCTACCCCCTTCCTGCCTACAGGGCGCTTCTACCCCTTTCCTGCCTACAGGGCGCTTCTACCCCCTTCCTGCCTACAGGGCGCTTCTACCCCCCCCTTCCTGCCTACAGGGCGCTTCTACCCCCTTCCTGCCTACAGGGCGCTTCTACCCCCTTCCTGCCTACAGGGCGCTTCTACCCCCTTCCTGCCTACCGGGCGCTTCTACCCCCTTCCTGTCTACCGGGCGCTTCTACCCCCTTCCTGCCTACCGGGCGCTTCTACCCCCTTCCTGCCTCCCGGGCGCTTCTACCCCCCCCCTTCCTCCCTACAGGGCGCTTCTACCCCCCGTTCCTGCCTCCCGGGCGCTTCTACCCCCTTCCTGCCTCCCGGGCGCTTCTACCCCCTTCCTGCCTACCGGGCGCTTCTACCCCCCCCTTCCTGCCTACCGGGCGCTTCTACCCCCTTCCTGCCTACCGGGCGCTTTCTACCCCCTTCCTGCCTCCCGGGCGCTTCTACCCCCTTCCTGCCTCCCGGGCGCTTCTACCCCCTTCCTGCCTACCGGGCGCTTCTACCCCCTTCCTGCCTACCGGGCGCTTTTACCCCCTTCCTGCCTCCCGGGCACTTCTACCCCCCCTTCCTGCCTACCGGGCACTTCTACCCCCTTCCTGCCTACCGGGCACTTCTACCCCCTTCCTGCCTACCGGGCACTTCTACCCACCCCCTTCCTGCCTACAGGGCACTTCTACCCCCTTCCTGCCTACAGGGCACTTCTACCCCCTTCCTGCCTACAGGGCACTTCTACCCCCTTCCTGCCTACAGGGCACTTCTACCCCCTTCCTGCCTACAGGGCACTTCTACCCCCTTCCTGCCTACAGGGCACTTCTACCCCCTTCCTGCCTACAGGGCACTTCTACCCCCTTCCTGCCTACAGGGCACTTCTACCCCCTTCCTGCCTACAGGGCACTTCTACCCCCTTCCTGCCTACAGGGCACTTCTACCCCCTTCCTGCCTACAGGGCACTTCTACCCCCTTCCTGCCTACCGGACACTTCTACCCCCTTCCTGCCTACAGGGCACTTCTACCCCCTTCCTGCCTCCCGGACATTTATAGCCCCTTCCTGCCCAGGCCAATTTTCAGCTTTCAGCACTGTCGCACTTTAAATGACAATTGTGCGGTCATGCAACACTGTACCCATATGACATTTTTTATCATTTTTTTTCCACACAAATAGAGCTTTCATTTGGTGGTGTTTACTCGCTGCTGGAGGTTTTATTTTTTTTGCACTATAAACAAAAAAAGAACAAAAAATTTGAAAAAAAAGAAAGTGTTTCTTTGTTTCAATTATAAAATTTTGCAAACAGGTAATTGTTCTCCTTCACTGATGTGCGTTGCTGAGGTTCCACTGATAGGCAGCACTGAGGAGGCACTGATGATGGGCACTGACGGGCGGGCACTGCTGGGCACTGATGGATGGCACTGCTGGGCAGTACTGATAGGCAGCACTGAAGGGCACTGATGAGAAGATACTGATGGGCGGCACTGCTAGGCTCAGGTGGGCGGCACTGCTGGATGGCACTGCTGGGCACAGGTGGGTGGCACCGATCACCAGTGCCCTGATGATCAGTGCCAATCCCTACTCGGACAATTGCTGGATCTCGGCAGTACTGTCCTCACGCTGTGACAGTGTGAGGAAGGTGCAGCCGATAACTGGCAACTGCATTTCCCACTGTGATTGGCCTTCTACCACACCACGTGATCAGCTGTATCTGTAGGACACCGTGATCACGGAGATTGGCGGGGGGGCGCGCAGGAGAGCGCATTCTGGGAGGACGTCATGACGCCCACCCAGAACTTGCCGGCAGCAGTGAAGCCGTCATTCAGCTATCCGCGGTCGGCAAGCGGTTAAATATAGAAATTCAGCCCGGGATCACATATCTGCGGTGCAGTATATCGCATGTGATTCGCACAGGAACCGCATTCCCTGCAGATCACGTGATTTGTGTGCGGTGCGATCGGCGGCGTACATTATGTATGGCTCTAATCGCACCGCAAACACGCGGGACCCTTTTTTTGGGTCAGTATTAGAATTGGATCGTACGGGTATTCACACCTCTGTGATCCGATTCTGCACATCGCACCGCGTTTTGCGGACCACTTTCGGGGTGTTAACATACACACCCGCAGCGGTTCGCATGAATGAGGTGCGATTCTGATGCGGTGCGGAATTCGCACAGAAAACGCTGAGAATTCCTCACCGCAGCAGTGTGAACCCGGGCTTATCGCTAATCCTGGGATCACATACATGAGGTTCGGTACATCACACGTGATTCGAACAGAAACCGCACAGCATTCCTGCGCAAATCACATGTGATTTGTGTGCAGAGCATCAATAACTTGCAGGACCCTTTTTTGGGTCCGCACTAATATTTATTTCAGGTACTTATATATCGCTGTCAATGTACTCCGCGCTTTACATATATATTATACATTCCCATCAGGCCCCGCCCCCGAGGAGCGTACAATCTAAGGTCCCTAACTCACATTCATACATACACATACTAGGGACAATGTAGACAGGAGCCAATTCACCTCCCAGCATGTCTTTGGCGTGTGGGAAGAAACCAGAGTACCCGGAGGAAACCCATGCAGACACAGGGAGAACATGCAAACTCCAGGCAAGTGGTGCCGTGGTTGGGATTTGAACCCATGACCCGAGTACTGCCAGGCGGAAGTGCTAACCATTTAGCCGCTGTGCTGCCCGGTATTCACACCTCTGTGATCCGATTCTGCACATCACGCCGCGTTTTGCAGACCACTTTCGGGGTGTTGTTAACATACACACCCGCAGCGGTTCGCATGAACGGAGTGCGATTCTGATGCGGTGCAGAATTCCCACAGAAAACGCTGCGATTTCCGCACCGCATCGGTGTGAACCCGCGCTGACTGTGGAGTCAAGACTTTAATGATCACTTCCTGTATAACGTCAGAATCACGTGACTTCCAACCAGCCGACGCACACGTGACCAATGACTGCGAGCTGACGAGGACGCGGCGTGTACAACGCGACTTACCCGTAAAGGTAGTAGAAAAAGGAGAGCAGGTAGAAAGCTAGTTTACACCATCCTTCCTTCTGACAGTAGGCCAGGATATCGGCGTTCATTATGGTGGTGGGATCATACAGGCCGGGACCGCTCATCATCACCGGTCGGCTCATATACCTGCAACAAGAAAAAGATGCAAAAACAATCATTTGTTAGAATAAAAAAATGAAAAAAAATGAGAGCTGTGCAAGGAAACGGGGACCGCGGAGAATGAACGGAGCCGCCTGCTGACAGGTCGGATCACAGAAAAAAAAATGTAATGTTTGGAGGAGGGCCGAGAGCAGAAGGGAATTTATGAGTTCTGAATACAGACTGGGACAGAATTTGTATTTAAGGCCTCGTTCACACTAGCAGTTGAGGGGCGGTAAAATCTCACCTTTTTTACAGCTTCCCCTTTAGCGGCAGAAGCATACGGTGCACATGTGCGCTTTGTGGCCACGGCAGGAATTATACGCCCCGCCGCACTGCAAGCTCCCCGCAATCCTGTGCGGTGTACGTGGCTGCGGTGTGCTGGTGCCGGGTCCAGGCAGTTAAAGTGGAGCTCCACCCAAAAGGGGAAGTACCGCTTTAATGCTTTGTCCACCGCTCCCCATTAACCACTTCCTGTCCGGCCCATGTACAAAAACAGAGCAGTGCAGGAGCGGGTGGCCGTTTATAAACATCCTCCCGCATTTCCTGCCTGTGCCGTGATCCAGTGCCCGCTGTGTCCGGAGGAAACAGTGGAACACCGATCGCTGTACAGGACCTCTGTGCGAGGTCCCGATCATGTGATCACTGATTGGCCAATCAGTGATCACATGAACAGTAGTAAGATGTCACTTCTGACATCATTGCTTACTATGTGTGAAATCTGTGAATGATCACAGAGATCACATGGTACAGGGCCACTCACAACAGTCTTGTACCATGATCAAGCTGTGACCAATCACAGCTCACACAGTATTTATCAATGGCTGCAGGAATGCAGCCAGAGAGGATAAATGATTCTTCTTACAGCCGTTATGGGTGTAAAAGCAATCAGTGTTAAAAAATAAAAATAATCGCCTCCCCACTAGTACAGTGTCACCATGGTAACACCGCACTGCTAGGTGTCAGTATGTAAAAAAAAAATATATGAAAAAATAAAATTAAAAATTAAAAAAATGTTTTTTGAAAAAATTAGAATTCTTGGTTATAAACTAATTTGGGTTATTTTATTTTTTTTCTTAAAAAGAAAGCCGAATACATTTTGGCCGAGATTTATGAAGAAAGATTATTTGCAAAATTTTAAAAGAAAAAAAATTTTTTTTCAAAATATTTGGACTTTTTCATTTATATAGCAAAAAAATAAAAATCCCAGCGGTGAATAAATACCACCAAAATAAAGTTTTATCTGTCTCAATAAAATGCTAAAACATTCATCTAGGTACAGTGTTGCATGACCGCGCAATTGTCATTCAAAGTGTGATAGCGCTGAAAGCTAAAAATTGGCCTGGATTGGAAGGGGGGGGGGGGGGGGTGTCCGGACTGGAAGGGGGGGGGGGGGGGAAGTGTCTGGACTTGAAGGGGTTAAGAATTGGCACCTTTGGCGAGCGGGGGAGGGGGGAGCGGATTCCCGAATTTGACAGGTACCCACCCCCACTCCGCTGCGATCGCCTAGGTCAGGGCTAGGCAATCTGAGAGAGCCGCAGGACTACAAGTTCCATCAAGCCTCTGCAAGTCATAGCTGTAACTGTGTTTAGTAATCTTTGCAATGCCTCATGGGAAATGTAGTTCCACAACAGCTAGAGAGCCGCAGGTTGCCTCCCCCTGTCCTAGGTGATCTGAGGAGGAAGTTGCCCCCCTCCCTCCCTGTAGTGGGACACATGAAAGGTCCCAGAAGACTACGGGGCCATTCACAAAGTGCAGCTTTTCTCATGCATGCGCAGTGGGCACCAACCTGTCACAGCCGTGGGGCCCACACTGAGGATGCCGGGGAGAGAGAAGACGGCCGGTGTAACCACCCGTGGTGAGGACCCCGCAGGACCGAGGGACAGGTAAGGGGCAGCTACAGTTTTCGTACAGTTTTTGTAGCTGCTGACTTTTATTTATTTTTTTCAGCTGGAACTTCGCTTTAAAAAAGGCGATACAACATCTCCGCACCAGATGCCAAATGCTCTCTGAAGAGCGATCCACTCACATTGCTCTTCAGAGCCCAAAGCTAGTGTGAATGAGCCCTAAGGGATTACCTCTCAGAAATGGACACGGCTGAGTGACAACTTACCTCCAGATGTGGTACGCCAGCAGCGGCATGTTTAAACTGAGAGTCAGCCATTCGGCAGCACAAAGGAACATGACGCAGAAGAACGCATGGATGAGATACTCGGGGAGCACGAGCTGCAGGAAACAACAACAAACACAGTTACATGGAGAGATACGTGCAGAGCCCCCCCCGTGTACATGAGGGGCTACCGACTCACAGGGCGGCCACTCCTGTATTCACTGCACCCCCCGCCTGTATACACTGCACCTCCCCCACCCCACTTCCTGTATTCACTGCACCTCCCCCACCCCACCCCCTGTATTCACTGCACCCCCCGCCTGTATTCACTGCACCTCCCCCACCCCACTTCCTGTATTCACTGCACCTCCCCCACCCCACCCCCTGTATTCACTGCACCCCCCGCCTGTATTCACTGCACCTCCCCCACCCCACTTCCTGTATTCACTGCACCTCCCCCACCCCACCCCCTGTATTCACTGCACCCCCCGCCTGTATTCACTGCACCTCCCCCACCCCACTTCCTGTATTCACTGCACCTCCCCCACCCCACCCCCTGTATTCACTGCACCCCCCCGCCTGTATTCACTGCACCTCCTCCACCCCACTTCCTGTATTCACTGCACCCCCCCCACCCCCCTGCCTGTATTCACTGCACCCCCCCCCCCCCCACCCCTTGTATTCACTGTACCCCCCCACCCCCCTGCCTCTATTCACTGCACCCCCCCGGCCTGTATTCACTGCACCCCCCCCACCCCACCCCCTGTATTCACTGCACCTCCCCCGCCTGTATTCACTGCACCCCCCCCCCCCCCCCCCACCTATATTTCACTGCACCTCCTCCCCCCACCCCCGCCTGTATTCACTGCACCCCCGCCTGTATACACTGCACCCCCCCCCGCCTGTATTCACTACACACACCCCCCGCCTGTATACACTGCACCCCCCCCCCCGCCTGTATACACTGCACCCCCCCACCCCACCCCTTGTATTCACTGTACCCCCCCACCCCCTGCCTCTATTCACTGCACCCCCCCCCCCACCCCACCCCCTGTATTCACTGCGCCTCCCCCGCCTGTATTCACTGCACCCCCCCCCACCCCCTGTATTCACTGCACCCCCCGCCTGTATTCACTGCACCCCCCCCACCCCACCCCCTGTATTCACTGCACCCCCCGCCTGTATTCACTGCACCCCCCGCGCCTATATTCACTGCACCTCACCCCCGCCTGTATTCACTGCACCCCCCGCCTGTATACACTGCACCCCCCCACCCCCTGTATTCACTGCACCCCCCCACCCCCGCCTGTATTCATTGTTCTCGAGGAACACGCAGATATATCAGCCGCTGAAAATAGGGTTCTCCAATGACTTCAATGCAAAATGGCATCCCATGAACTTCACTGCAAAAATTCAATATGGCCACCAGAATGTGTACAGAACGCCCCCAGCAACATCATTTCCTGATTGTGATTGGATCGCTGATTTTCCCAGAAGTCTGCACTAAGAAACAAGTCAGAATTCAGGCATCCCTGCAACACAAATGTCATATTAGGTGAGAAACTCCCAATAAGAAATCACGATTAAAAAGGAGATTTTTTTTTTTTGAAGACGTCATTTATGACGAAACTAGTAGGGCTTGCTGGATGCCGACGTCTGTGGAGAGGATTGAGTCACGAGCGCTGTAGTGAGTGTGCGGGGAGCAGGAGACTGTTATACCATTTGCCGTTTACGCTGTTATACTGTGTCGGTGAGGACACCCTTTTTGTGAGTGTAAATCTTTATTAAATTGTTGGATACTTTTATAAAAAAAAACTGGCTGCACCATGATTTTCTCTTTCATTCCCAAACATGACCTCGGTGGAGAGATATACAAAGAGAGAGTGATATAATGCTCCTGGAACCGTTCTATGGAGTGGTGGGTACCTACCTTATGGGTGATTGTGTAGCTATTGATCATCACACCTGAGAAGTTGATTCAGAGCAAAAAGCCTTTTTTGCTGATCTAGAGATTGATCAGCCCTGGAGCTGAGCTCTGGGGAGTTACCCAACTTTACTTTGGTGGTGGATTTTGGTACAATTTCTTGGAGAGCGCCTGAATTTGAAAGAGATTTGTTTGGACATTTGAAGAAATTCAGAATTGGACATTTTTTTTATATTCACAAATTTAATTATTTGAATTGCTTGTGCACTGAAAAATAGTTTTGCACATAATTTTGATATTTTTTGATATTAATTGAGAGTAGATATATCTTTTGCACTAATGTTTCTACACTAAATTAGGAATAGTTTGTGGTTTTAGCGCATTCCTTTAAGTTATAGCACTAAGAAAATTTATTTGGTTTCTTTGAGGTGGAATTGCTGCTTTAAAGTATTAAGGGTGTGGCGCTTTTATTACACTTGTGATAAAAAGGAGATTTTGCCTTGGAGACCACGGGAGGCGGTTCCACCTTGGAGACCACGGGAGGCGGTTCCACCCTCTCGAGACCCACGGGAGGCGGTTCCACCCTCGAGACCACGGGAGGCGGTTCCACCCTCGAGACCACGGGAGGCGGTTCCACCCTCGAGACCACGGGAGGCGGTTCCACCCTCGAGACCACGGGAGGCGGTTCCACCCTCGAGACCACGGGAGGCGGTTCCACCCTCGAGACCACGGGAGGCGGTTCCACCCTCGAGACCACGGGAGGCGGTTCCACCCTCGAGACCACGGGAGGCGGTTCCACCCTCGAGACCACGGGAGGCGGTTCCACCCTCGAGACCACGGGAGGCGGTTCCACCCTCGAGACCACGGGAGGCGGTTCCACCCTCGAGACCACGGGAGGCGGTTCCACCCTCGAGACCACGGGAGGCGGTTCCACCCTCGAGACCACGGGAGGCGGTTCCACCTTCGAGACCACGGGAGGCGGTTCCACCTTCGAGACCACGGGAGGCGGTTCCACCTTCGAGACCACGGGAGGCGGTTCCACCTTCGAGTCAACCGGGAGGAGCTTTTACATTGAAGTTGGGGCAGCACAGTGGCTAAATGGTTAGCACTTCCGCCTGGCAGTACTCGGGTCGTTGGTTCAAATCCCAGCCACGGCACCACCTGCATGGAGTTTGCATGTTCTCCCTGTGCCTGCATGGATTTCCTCTGGGTACTCCGGTTTCCTCCCACACTCCAAAGACATGCTGGTAGGTGAACTGGCTCCTGTCTAAATTGGCCCTACTCGGTGTATGAATGTTGAGTTAGGGACCTTAGACTGTACACCCCTCGGGGGCGGGACTGACGTGAATGTACAATATATATATGTAAAGCGCTGCGTAAGTTGACGGCGCTATATAAGTACCTGAAATAAATATATAAGTCAACGTGAGGCAATGTTGCACTGAGGTCAATGGGACATGATTTTGCATTGAAGTCAATTATCATTATCGGCACTTTTTTTTTTTTTTAAATCTGTAAAACGCCGACAACCTTATTTTCGGGGGCCGATATTTCTGCATCACTAGTTTTCACCTTGTGTGTTCCTCTCTATGGGAGGGCAGAAACACTCGTATTCTGCCCAATCCCTGCACTATATCTAACTGGGGCACCTCCAGGAATACGGAGAGAAGATCATTCAGGCACCTCTGCGGACACCACGTTCCCATTTTTGGGGCTCCCCTGCACTGTATTATCAGCACACAGCCTGCTAGGGACACTTCCTATATTCTGCCTGGACCGGTTCTGCTCAGCTCTTTGCCGAGACAACTTTTGAAAAATTTTTGCACGTTAAAATCATCATTTATCCTAGAAATGACTCTAAACCCTTCAAAAGTACACATTTATTGACAGCAGAGACCCTGGAAAATAAAATGGTGGCAGTTACAAATTTTTATGTCACACAATATACGTTCAGCTGCATATCAAACGCTTATTTTTAGGGAGAAAAAACACAAAAGTTTTAGTACAAACACAATATAATACACAATTTGTTGGTCAAGTAAACAGATACCAAACATGTCAAGTCATTTTTGACAAAAATGTCAAATTTTTTTTTTTCTTTTTTATTTGATAGAATTCTTTTAACACAAATTTTTTGTTAACTTTACTGTAATCAGGGACCCCGCCGGGAACGGGAGGAGGGCGGGCCGGGAACGGGAGGAGGGCGGGCCGGGAACGGGAGGAGGGCGGGCCGGGAACGGGAGGAGGGCGGGCCGAGGACCCCGCCGCCGGGAACGGGAGGAGGGCGGGCCGGGAACGGGAGGAGGGGGGCCGGAACGGGAGGAGGGCGGGCCGAGGACCCCGCCGGGAACGGGAGGAGGGCGGGCCGAGGACCCCGCCGGGAACGGGAGGAGGGCGAGCCGAGGACCCCGCCGGGAACGGGAGGAGGGGGCGAGCCGAGGACCCCGCCGGGAACGGGAGGAGGGCGGCCGGAACGGGAGGAGGGCGGGCCGAGGACCCCGCCGGGAACAGGAGGAGGGTGGGCCGGGAAGAGGGCGGCCGGGAACAGGAGGAGGGGCGGGCCGAGGACGCCGCCGGGAACGGGAGGAGGGCGGGCAGGCAACGAGAGGAGGGCAGGCCAAGGACCCCCGCCGGGAACGGGAGGAGGGCGGGCCGGGAGGAGGGCAGGCTGGGAACGGGAGGAGGGCGGGCCGAGGACCCCGCCAGGAACGGGAGGAGGGCGGGCCGGGAGGAGGGCGGGCCGAGGACCCCGCCGGGACCGGGAAGAGGGCGGGCCGAGGACCCCGCCGGGACCGGGAAGAGGGCGGGCCGAGGACCCCGCCGGGACCGGGAAGAGGGCGGGCCGAGGACCCCGCCGGGACCGGGAGTGGCGGAGGACATATAAAAAGAGAAAGCGGCTGAAGTGCAGCCGGAGCCCGCCGGGGGTGACAGGCCGGAACTCGGGGGGGGGGGGGGGGTTGTGGCAGGCCGAGGGCAAAGTGAAGTTCATCACCAACTTCGGGGTTTATTCAGAAGGATAAGAACAAACAGCTCTACTGCTGAGGGACAATAAATAGTGACAACAACAGAAGAAAGTAGAAAAAGCAAAACAGATTTTTCATTACCCCCCCCTCCCCGCCCCCCCCCATAATAGGAAGTACAACCTTTATAAAGAAGCCGTATTTGTTTATTATGGGGTAACTTACCTACACGGACAGAGAAGGGGTACAGCTTCCCCCCAGCACACCCCGGGGGTCTATCAGAAAAACCTTGGAATCTGTTACCATGACGACAGGGAACTGCGGTCATGACATTGAAGGATGACTTTAATGACCGGAGTGAAATATGAAGGGAAATGGAAGAAATTGAACTGCAAAACGCTTTCCGAGCGATCGACTGACAACCTGGGACCACGGAGCAGTACTACGAGCAACATCAGAAATGAGCTCTGTGATCCCGCCCGCCACCAACATTAACCCCTCCCCCTCCAGAGGATTCCCCCCCCCCCCCTTCCCGACCAGACCTTTATTTTGCGATACGGCGCTGCGTTACTTTAACTGACAATTGCGCGGTCATGCAACGCTGTACCCAAATTAAATTTATGTCCTTTTTTCCCCACAAATGGCACTTTCTTTCGGTGGTATTTGATCGCCTGTGTGGTTTTTATTTTTTGTGCTATAAACAAAAAAAATACCAACAAATCTGAAAAAAAGAACAATATTTTGGACTTTTTGCTATTAAACATCCTATAAAAAATGTTTTAAAAAAATCAAACTTCATCATAAATTTCGGCCAAAACGTCTCCCGCTCCGTATCTTAACTGAAAAAAAAATCCCGATACGTGGAAATTAATTGGTTTATGTGAAGGTTATAGCGTTTAGAAACGGCGGGAGAGATACGGGGATTTTTTATTTTTAATCCTAGTAATGGCGGCGATCAGCGACTTATAGTGGGACTGTGGTGGGCATTCTGACACTGGCAGGGGGGGGGGAGGAATTGACTTGGTGTCACTGACACCCCAGTGACACCAGTACAGTGATCAGTGCTAAAAAAAAAAAAACACTGACACTGTACTAATGGCACTGGGCAGGAAGGGGTTAACAGCTGGGGCAATCAAAGGGTTAACTGTGTGCGGTGTTACTTGGGAGACATGCTGTGCAGAGATACAAAGCAGCATGTCCTTGCTGGCAGGAGAGAGATCTGTATTGTTTACACTCAGACCTTTCCCGCTGCAGGGGGAAATCCTCTGGAAGGGAAAGGGGGGGGGGGAAAATCCTCTGGAAGGGAAAGGGGGGGGGAGGGGAAATCCTCTGGAAGGGAAAGGGGGGGGGGAAAATCCTCTGAAGGCAGATCACAGTTCCTGTGGTTGGGTTATGAGCAGATAACCAGCTTTACTCCAGATCTGAGGGGACGGGGATGATGGGGGGGGGGGGGGGGGGGATGTCAGGAGGAGAACACAATCCACACAAACAGACGTTCCTGACAATAAATACGTGGCGGGGGGACCTCACGTGGCATGTACACACCTTCAGTGCACTTTTCACTCTTTTAATCTTTTTCAGCTTTTCAAGTGTCTTTTGTTTGCGACAAAGTACAAAAGCAGAATGGAAGAAGGTTAGTGTGACAGCTGGCAAGAGATTAATAGACGACAAATCGCTCATCTCCGACGCACAGCCCACAATCCATCACACCCTCTTAAAGGTACAGTCCCACTTACACAGATCTCTGAGGGACAAGCCGCTGTGTCCGCCATGTACATTCCTGTCACTTCTGACATCATTGCTTACTACGTGTGAAATCTGTGAATGATCACAGAGATCACATGGTACAGGGCTATTCACAACAGCCTTGTACCATGTGACAACCTGCGACCAATCACAGCTCACACAGTATTTCTCAATGGCTGCAGGAATGCAGCCAGAGAGAAGGAGAAATGATTCCACTTACAGCCGTTATGGGTGTAAAACAATCCGTGTAAAAAAAAAAAAAAAAAAATCTTCATCCCCCCCCCACAAGTAGTACAGTGTCACCATGGTGACCCCACACTGCTAGGGTGACAGTATGTTAAAAAAAAAAAATATATATATATAAAAAAAATAAAAATGTAACAATATTTTTTTACATTATAATTTTTGGTTATAAGCTAATTTGGTTTTTTTTTTGCTTTTTTTTTTACTAAAAAGATAACTGAATACATTTTGGCCGAGATTTATGAAGAAAGATTATTTTTTCTAAAGAAACACTTTTTTTCTAAATTTGGACTTTTTCATTTATATAGCAAAAAAATAAAAAATCCCAGCAGTGAATAAATACCACCAAAATAAAAGGGGAGGAAGCGTCCGGACCGGAAAGGGGGGGGGGGGAAGCGTCCGGACCGGAAAGGGGGGGGGGGGAAGCGTTCCGGACCGGAAAGGGGGGGGGGGGAAGCGTCCGGACCGGAAAGGGGGGGGGGGAAGCGTCCGGACCGGAAAGGGGGGGGGGGGAAGCGTCCGGACCGGAAAGGGGGGGGGGGGAAGCGTCCGGGACCGGAAAGGGGGGGGGGGGAAGCGTCCGGACCGGAAAGGGGGGGGGGGGAAGCGTCCGGACCGGAAAGGGGGGGGGGGGAAGCGTCCGGACCGGAAAGGGGGGGGGGGGGGGGAAAGCGTCCGGACCGGAAAGGGGGGGGGGGGGGAAGCGTCCGGACCGGAAAGGGGGGGGGGGGGAAGCGTCCGGACCGGAAAGGGGGGGGGGGGGTTTCCTGGGAAGCGTCCGGACCGGAAAGGGGGGGGGGGGGGGGGAAGCGTCCGGACCGGAAAGGGGGGGGGGGAAGAACCGGAAAGGGGGGGGGGGGGAAGTCCGGACCGGAAAGGGGGGGGGGGGGAAGCGTCCGGACCGGAAAGGGGGGGGGAAGCGTCCGGGACCGGAAAGGGGGGGGAAGAAGCGTCCGGACCGGAAAGGGGGGGGAAGCGTCCGGACCGGAAAGGGGGGGGAAGCGTCCGGACCGGAAAGGGGGGGGGAAGCGTCCGGACCGGAAAGGGGGGGGAAGCGTCCGGACCGGAAAGGGGGGGGGGTGGGAAGCGTCCGGACCGGAAAGGGGGGGGGGGGAAGCGTCCGGACCGGAAAAGGGGGGGGGGAAGCGTCCGGACCGGAAAAGGGGGGGGGGAAGCGTCCGGACCGGAAAGGGGGGGGAAGCGTCCGGACCGGAAAGGGGGGGGGAAGCGTCCGGACCGGAAAGGGGGGGGAAGCGTCCGGACCGGAAAGGGGGGGGAAGCGTCCGGGACCGGAAAGGGGGGGGAAGCGTCCGGACCGGAAAGGGGGGGGAAGCGTCCGGACCGGAAAGGGGGGGGAAGCGTCGGACCGGAAAGGGGGGGGGAAGCGTCCGGACCGGAAAGGGGGGGGAAGCGTCCGGACCGGAAAAGGGGGGGAAGCGTCCGGACGGAAAGGGGGGGGAAGCGTCCGGACCGGAAAGGGGGGGGAAGCGTCCGGACCGGAAAGGGGGGGGAAGCGTCCGGACCGGAAAGGGGGGGGGGAAGCGTCCGGACCGGAAAGGGGGGGGAAGCGTCCGGACCGGAAAGGGGGGGGAAGCGTCCGGACCGGAAAGGGGGGGGAAGCGTCCGGACCGGAAAGGGGGGGGGAAGCGTCCGGACCGGAAAGGGGGGGGAAAGCGTCCGGACCGGAAAGGGGGGGGAAGCGTCCGGACCGGAAAGGGGGGGGGGAAGCGTCCGGACCGGAAAGGGGGGGAAGCGTCCGGACCGGAAAGGGGGGGAAGCGTCCGGAACGGAAAGGGGGGGAACGGTCCGAAGCGTCCGGACCGGAAAGGGGGGGGGAAGCGTCCGGACCGGAAAGGGGGGGAAGCGTCCGGACCGGAAAGGGGGGGAAGCGTCCGGACCGGAAAGGGGGGGGAAGCGTCCGGACCGGAAAGGGGGGGGGAAGCGTCAAAGGACCGGAAAGGGGGGGGAAGCGTCCGGACCGGAAAGGGGGGGGAAGCGTCCGGACCGGAAAGGGGGGGGAAGCGTCCGGACCGGAAAGGGGGGGGGGAAGCGTCCGGACCGGAAAGGGGGGGGGAAGCGTCCGGACCGGGAAAGGGGGGGGGGAAGCGTCCGGACCGGAAAGGGGGGGGGGAAGCGTCCGGACCGGAAAGGGGGGGGAAGCGTCCGGACCGGAAAGGGGGGGAAGTGTCCAGTTTGGAAGTGGTTAAAAACTGTCAAATAACATGACTGGGGCTAAGGGAAATTTTTTCTCTCCAAATTGGTTTAGCAATACACACCAAACTGAGCATGTTCAGAGTGCCCCCATGGCTTTGTTGTAGCAGAAGATAGATTGTCTACAGTAGAAGAAGGGGAGGATCAGAGGAGACGGGATCAAACAGCCTTTTTATACAATGTGGAGGATTAACCCCTTAGGTTCCACACTGAGTATAACAAGCATGCTTTACTGCAGGGATGTCAAACTGGCGGCCCTACAGCTGTTACAAACTACAAGTCCCATCATGCCTTTGGGAATCTTGCAATGCCTCATGGGACTTGTAGTTTGGCAACAGCTGGAGAGCTGTCAGTTTGACCCGGTGCTTTACCTCCCATACCGGCTGATTTTACTGTAAAGTTGACCATTACAAAGGACATGTGAACAGACAGAATGGTGTGAATGGTCAAGAATGGGTTGCATGCTGGGATCGGTAGTCCGCTCAGTTGCTTTGCAGCGCTGGGGCCCTGGGTTCAATACCAACCAGGACCCCACCCTGCATGGAATTCAAATATGTTGCGGTCTTTTCGTGGACCGGCTTCCGCATCCAAAGACACGGCAGCATGATGATTGGTAGAGAGGGGCTGCGGGGGGATTAGGAGATTGTAAGCTTCTTTCTCGGCCAGCAATGTAGGTCAGCGACTCGCTGTAATCTGTAAATCTCGGCATCGCATGTCAGGCAAGAAATATCAACGAGAAAAAACAGCCGAATGGCGCAAAACAGAATCTCAATTCAACCTGAAAATACAGATAAAACTGTTGCTGCAGCAGAGACTAGAAGTATCAGCAAGTCCTGCCGGTGCGGCTTCAGCTCACGGTCACCAAAGCCGGTCTGTGCGTCCCGGGACAATGCTGCAAAGTGGGACCGTACCTTTATTTGTCCACCCCCCCCCCCCCCCCCCCCCCGGCTCTCACATGGATGTACAACCTTCACATGACACAGCAAGCATGCATGAAGCGCAGGCACACGGCGGGCGCTCAGCCATCGGCACCCACTCACCGGGTTCAGCGTGTTACATTGGTCTATAGGATTCTTGTAGTCGGTTTTCAATTCATCAAATGCAATTATCTGAAAAGGAGAAAAAAGAAAACAAAATAAAAATCACTTTTCGTGAGATGTATTCCATCCGATGATGAGGGGATCCGAATCCAAATACATTTCCAATCTATAATGTGGAGGCAAAATAGGAAAACACTGGTGCCATGCAGGTCTCCTGCAGACCTGTCAGTATATACAGGAGGACTGTGGATGCAATGACTGCCACAGAGCTCCACGGCGCCATGGTAGTTCACTGACAGCTGCAAAGGCTGCTGGGACTTGTGGTTCATTCATTCACAGAGCACTGTAAACGAATGACGCGGCCGTGTTCTTGAGGGTGGAAAGGATCAGTACTCGTCGATAAACGGGATCGGTGGATCCCTACCGACAGCCAATCGTAACCCCTTCACACCGGCGCCTCCCAGTCCTCTTAAGGGGTTTCTGATGCCGGGAGGCGGGCGGGGTGACCACTGTGACAGCCAATCAGCAAGGAGTGATCGGGATCTTTCTCATGGGACACCGACACGTGTTCTGGGGGGCGCACTCTCAGAACACATCTGTTTACAAATGGTGCGCCCCCCCCCCCCCCCCCCCCCGGCATCAAGGCCCAGCCGCTGAGAGGCCACATACTTGCATATGCTCGGTGTGAAGAGGTTACAGGGGTGGGAAGGGTTAAAAAGCAATTTGTAAACAAACCGCTCCCCACCCACAGACAATCCCTACGCCTCGGGGTGACGTCATCGCGCCTTCTGGCAGAGCCGGGAATCCCAGGACGATGTTCTCTTGCAGACGGCGGCAGTGCAGCTCCGTGTAATTGAGGCTTCCAGATCTGACATCACCCGTACATCCGAGCAGCACTGGGGGATGGGGCGGGGGATGGGGGGGGGGTTATTTCTTGGGAGGCAGGTTTACCAATGCCATTTTAAAGCTATCTGGGCTTGGGGGGGGCTTATTTGGTGGCTGGCAGGATAGCAGGCCTTGTGTATGTATGATTGTGGGGGGGGGGGGGGTATGTGGTGGCTGGCAGGATAGCAGGCCTTGTGTATGTATTGTTGGGGGGGGGGGGGGGGGGTGTGGTGGCTGGCAGGAAAGCAGGCCTTGTGTATGTATTGTGGGGGGGGGGGGGGTATGTGGTGGCTGGCAGGATAGCAGGCCTTGTGTATGTATTGTTGGGGGGGGGGGGGGGGGGTATGTGGTGGCTGGCAGGAAAGCAGGCCTTGTGTATGTATTGTGGGGGGGGGGGGTATGTGGTGGCTGGCAGGATAGCAGGCCTTGTGTATGTATTGTGGGGGGAGGGGGGGGTATGTGGTGGCTGGCAGCCAGGATAGCAGGCCTGTATGTATTGTGGGGGGGGGGGGGGATTGGTAGCAGGCCTTGTGTATGTATTGTTGGGGGGGGGGGGGGTATGTGGTGGCTGGCAGGATAGCAGGCCTTGTGTATGTATTGTGGGGGGGGGGGGGGGGGAGGTAGCAGGCCTTGTGTATGTATTGCGGGGGGGGGGGGGGGGGAGGTAGCAGGCCTTGTGTATGTAATTGCGGGGGGGGGGGGGGGGAGGTAGCAGGCCTGTATGTATTGCGGGGGGGGGGGGGGGGGGAGGTAGCAGGCCTTGTGTATGTATGTATTGTTGGGGGGGGGGAGGTAGCAGGCCTTGTGTATGTATTGTGGGGGGGGGGGGGGGGGGGGGGTATGTGGTGGCTGGCAGGATAGCAGGCCTGTATGTATTGCGGGGGGGGGGGGGGGGAGGGTAGCAGGCCTTGTGTATGTATTGTTGGGGGGGGGGGGGGGTATGTGGTGGCTGGCAGGATAGCAGGCCTTGTGTATGTATTGCGGGGGGGGGGGGGGGGAGGGGTAGCAGGCCTTGTGTATGTATTGCGGGGGGGGGGGGGGGGGGAGGGTAGCAGGCCTTGTGTATGTATTGCGGGGGGGGGGGGGGGGGGAGGTAGCAGGCCTTGTGTATGTATTGTGGGGGGAGGGGGGGGTATGTGGTGGCTGGCAGGATAGCAGGCCTTGTGTATGTATTGCGGGGGGGGGGGGGGGGGGGGGGGGGTAGCAGGCCTTGTGTATGTATTGCGGGGGGGGGGGGGGTGGTAGCAGGCCTTGTGTATGTATTGCGGGGGGGGGGGGGGGGGGGGGGGTAGGTAGCAGGCCTTGTGTATGTATTGCAGAGGGGGGGGGGGGGGGGTTCTGCACTGACACACACCTGACACGCGTGGCTGAACTGAACTTCGCACTATGACCGGCACTGACTAGTGATGAGGTGAGCCGTTCCCTGCCTATGAAGGACAATGAGGTGCAGATACCACGGACCGTCCTCCCTGCACTCCACGAATCCCGCAGTCACAGAGCCAACAAGTGGCTCGCCTCCACCCTGATGGGGGGGGGGGGCTGAACATAGCGCACACCTCTGTACTTTATATGTGAATTTAGATTGGCTCTTCGCTCGCACTTCCTCTATATTCACCATCACAGTGAATCCGAAACATATTCAGTGTAAAGCTGGACGGAGGTCCCACCTTCCAATGAAGACAGCCGCCCGGGAGGAGGACGGAGCGGACCCCCGTAGAGAGAGAGGGCGGAGCGGACCCCCGGGGAGAGAGGGCGGAGCGGACCCCCGGGGGGAGAGAGAGGGCGGAGCGGACCCCCGGGGGAGAGAGGGCGGAGCGGACCCCCGGGGGGAGAGAGGGGCGGAGCGGACCCCCGGGGGGAGAGAGGGCGGAGCGGACCCCCGGGGGGGAGAGAGGGCGGAGCGGACCCCCGGGGGGAGAGAGGGCGGAGCGGGCCCCCGGGGGGAGAGAGGGGCGGAGCGGGGGGCCCCGGGGGAGAGAGAGGGCGGAGCGGACCCCGGGGGGAGAGAGAGGGCGGAGCGGACCCCCGGGGAGAGAGAGAGGGCGGAGCGGACCCCCGGGGGAGAGAGAGGGCGGAGCGGACCCCCGGGGGGAGGAGAGAGAGGGCGGAGCGGACCCCCCGGGGGGAGAGAGAGGGCGGAGCGGAGCCCCGGGGGGAGAGAGAGGGCGGAGCGGAGCCCCCGGGGGGGAGAGAGGGCGGAGCGGACCCCCGGGGGGAGAGAGGGCGGAGCGGAGCCCCGGGGGGAGAGAGGGACGGAGCGGACCCCCGGGGGGAGAGAGGACGGATCCGCTGGGATGCAGAAGGTTCATGAACACAGCCACTGCCGTTCCCAATTGGACAGCCGTGGGGGCGTGGACACAGCCGCCGCTCCCAATTGGACAGCCGTGGGGGCGTGGACACAGCCGCCGCTCCCAATTGGACAGCCGTGGGGGCGTGGACACAGCCGCCGCTCCCAATTGGACAGCTGTTGGGGGTGTGGGCACACAGCGTTTACAAATGGCAGTACATATACGGGGATTTTTGTTTTTAACTTTCACTAGTAATGGCGGGTGATCAGCGACTTATGGCGGGACTGCGACGCATTCTGACACGGGGGGGGGCAGAGGAATGACTCGGTGTCACTGACATCCCCAGTGACACCAATACAATGATCAGTGCTAATAAACGCACTGCCACCGTACTAATGGCACTGAGCGGGAGGGGGGTTAACATCTGGGGGCCACCAAAAGGTTACCTGTGTGTGTTTTACTACTGTGCTGTGCAGAGACATACAAAGCAGCATGTCCTTGCTGGCAGGAGATCTGTGTTGTCTATATACAGACCTCTCCCGTCAGTTTCACTGACAATCACCGAGTCCAGGCAGCCGGGACCCGGTGATTGACATGCCGTGGAGCCAGGAGGTGTGCGCACCCCCCCTACCTGGAAAAACAAGATCACAGATACACACGATTTTGCGCACCCCTGCCGCACTGCAGCAGTACTTCTGCTATTGGACGCTTGGGAAGCCGTAAGTCAGCGGTTTTGAGGTGGATGACTTTTTTTTTCTATTTTCACTGGAATTCCGCTTTAAAGTGATAAAATAAAACCCGTCACACTCACCTGATCTGTAATGGTTTGGCACACAGCAGCCCCTCTCCTCCTCTTTTTGGGTCCCCCTGCTGGTGCTCCTGGCTCCCCCCCCCTGCCAAAAGTAAGCCTCTTACTATGAGGGCACATGAGCAGGCTCGCTCCCGGGCCGCGGTCCAGCGAATGGACATTATCCATTCACACACTCAGCATGCCTCAGCCCCGCCCCACTTTCCATTCTCTCATCAGATTGGCTGTGATTCTAGCAGCTGTGTGAGCCAATGAGGAGAGAGAGACCCGGGAGAGCCGCTGCTCTCATGCACATCATTGGATCGAGATGGGGCTCGGGTGAGTATTGGGGGGCCGGGGGGGTGAGTTGCACCCGGAAGGTTTTTTTACCTTCATGCACTTTAATCCTTGTCTATGGTCCAAGTTATTTCTGGTCACATGACCTCTGTCCCGGGTTTCCTGTCTCAGGGTGTCTCCTTCCTCTTGCAGCGTCCTATGGGGTCACACTTGTATGCAGGGACTAGAGCTGTGTCCCCCTACACTGTGTGCATCAATAGACACACACAGCCCCATAGCCCAGGATGGCAAGGCACTCCCCTTCAACAAACGCACTGACTTTTGCACCACGGTGTTTGTTACATCCATAGTTCGAGTGCAACATGGTGCAAATGTTAGCTCCGCCCCCCACAACCCATGCAATGCTCTGCAGGCCCCCCACAACCCATGCAATGCTCTGCAGGCCCCCCACAACCCATGCAATGCTCTGCAGGCCCCCCACAACCCATGCAATGCTCTGCAGGCCCCCCACAACCCATGCAATGCTCTGCAGGCCCCCCACAACCCATGCAATGCTCTGCAGGCCCCCCAAACCCATGCAATGCTCTGCAGGCCCCCCACAACCCATGCAATGCTCTGCAGGCCCCTCATGATTTGAATGAATTTATCATCTTTTAAAAAAGCTGAATGGAGCCTTTAAGCTGCAGTCACATGACCCTCCGACACCCAATCCTCCTCTGTTTACTTCCTGCACTGGTCCTTCTTCTGGGTGTCGGGGTCACACTGGCTGAACACCCGGAAGGACCCGGTCCAATCTGGCTGCCAGCAAAGGGGTCACCAGAGGACTCAGAAGAGGACAGATGTGAAGGGGACCGGAGTGCATCTGCTGGACTAGCGCCCCCCGCAGGCAGCAAAGTTGTCAGTGAGGGACCTGGATGGAAGATCCCCCGACACATCAGAACCCCGCCCCCAATTACTATAGAGGCCCCCCATCATCACACCACAGGGTCCCCCAACACATCAGAACCCCGCCCCCAATCACTATAGAGGCCCCCCCCCCCATCATCACACCACAGGGTCCCCCAACACATCAGAACCCCGCCCCCAATCACTATAGAGGTCCCCCCCACATGACATCAGAGGGCCCCCCCCACATCACACCAGAGGATGTCACCCCCCACACATCACACCATAGAGCCCCCCCATCACACCAGAGGGCCCACACATCACACCAGAGGGGCCCCCCCACACATCACATCAGAGGGCCCCCCCACACATCACACCAGAGGGTGTCACCCCCCCCCCCACATCACACCAGAGAGTGTCACCCCCCCCCCCCCACATCACACCAGAGGGCCCCCCCAAAAACACATCACACCAGAGGGGCCCCCCCCCCCACACATATCACACCAGAGGGCCCCCCCCCCACACACACACATCACACCAGAGGGCCCCCCCCCCCACACACACATCACACCAGAGGGCCCCCCCCACACACATCACACCAGAGGGCCCCCCCCACATCACATCAGAGGGTGTCACCCCTCCCACATCACACCAGAGGGGCCCCCCACATCACACCAGAGGGCCCCCCCAAAAACACATCACACCAGAGGGGCCCCCCCCCACACATATCACACCAGAGGGCCCCCCCCCCACACACACATCACACCAGAGGGCCCCCCCCCCCCCACACACATCACACCAGAGGGCCCCCCCCACACACATCACACCAGAGGGCCCCCCCCACATCACATCAGAGGGTGTCACCCCTCCCACATCACACCAGAGGGGCCCCTCACATTACATCAGAGGGGCCCCTCACATTACATCAGAGGGGCCCCCCACATCACAGAGGGGCCCCCAGGCTTGGCACACCCATGGTGGTCGGTCTGTCAGGTCCCCCCTCCCCCGTAGACTGTGGGGGGGGCCTGGCTGCTATGGACACTTCCCCCCTTCATGTGACTCTGCAGAGAAGGATGACCTGTTGCCCCTGGCAACCAATACCTCTACGGGAAAGTCAGTCGTTGCCCATAGCAACCATCTCCCCACTACCTGACTGGTTGCTGGGGGTAGCAGAGATGTATGGAGAGGGGCCCGGCCTCCCCCGGTACTCACATGCCAGATGGCGAAGAAGATGAGGGCGGCGGTGAGGAGCAGAGCCAGCATATAGCAGAAGGCCGCGAACGTGAACGCCATGTTCAGTCCGGGGAGCGAGGAGGAGGCGGCCGGCGCGGGGGCTGCTGGGAAAAATCATTCACCGGCCACCGCTCAGGTGGGGGGCGCGCACGTCGCCGGGGAGGCGCTAAAAGGAGGAGAACGCGCACGTCGCTTCCCTAAGCCCGGGTACGCGGCCGCACGGTTGTAAGGTGGAAGGGAAGAAACGGGGGCGCGCGATTCCGGCCTCTGAGGGGAGAAGCGGGGAGCGCGCGATCCCGGCCTCTGAGGGGAGAAATAGGGGAGCGCCTCCTCAGTCCTGTCATCTCATTGATAGAGAAAGTCCATCGTCTCCCCTCCTAGACAATATGGGGGTCACCTCCCTCCTCAGAGTCCATTACCGAGAGCAGTGTGCCCCTCCTGTCAGCCATGAGAAGCTCACAGAGGGGCCCCCCAAACCTCGCCTTTCCTGAAGGCAGAGACCCCGGAGAACAAGGCCCCTTTCACCCGGGCGTCCCGTATGTCCGTTTTTCATCTGTTTACGTAGGAAAATTGGACCCGCATGTATTTCTATGGACTTGCGGCTGTAAACAGGTTAATATTCAAGTTTTTTTTTTAACGGAAGGAAACCCTATTTTACTTCCGTAAAAAAAACCCGGAATGGATGAAGAACAGATGTAAACCGTTGTAAATGAATTAAAAAAACATGTAAACGGATGAAAACAGATGTAAGCGGATGAAAACGTAAACGGATGAAAAAAAATGGATGTAAACGGATGAAGACAGATGTATACTGATGGAAACCAGGTGGAAACGGATGAAAAACAGGTCTGAATGGGCGAAAACGAATGAAAAACAGATGTAAACAGATATAAAACGGATGAAAGACAGATGTAAACAGATGAAAAATGGATAAAAAAAACAGATGGAAACGGATGTACATGGATGAAAACAGATTAAAATGGATGTAAACAGATGAAAAACGGATGAAGATAGATGTATACTGATGGAAAACAGGTGAAAACGGATATAAATGGATGAAAAACTGATAAAAACAAATGGAAATGGTGAAAAATAGATGAAAATGAATATAAAACAGATGTAAACTGATGAAAAATGGATAAAAACAGATGTAAATGGATGAAAATAGATTAAAAATGGCTGCAAAATAGAAGTAAATGGATGAAAACCAATGTAAACAGATGAAAATGGATGTAAACAGGTGAAAAAATTGATGAAGACAGATGTATACTGATGGAAAACAGGTAGAAATGGACGAAAAATGATGGAAACGGATGAAAACATATGTAAACAGATGAAAAGAGATATAAATGGATGAAAAACAAATGTAAACTGATGAAAACAGATGTGTAAACGGATGAAAAACAGATGTAAACTGATGAAAACAGATGTAAATGGATAAAAAACAGGTGAAAAAATTGATGAAAACGGATGAAATTTGATGTACATTGATGAAAAATTGATGAAAACAGATGTAAACGGATGAAAAGTGGATAAAAAACAGATGTAAATGGATGTAAACTCATCCGTTTTTTCTTTGAGAAAACGTGACTGAACTGAAGAAACAGAACCGGACCCTTAATCGGCGCTCCTTCCAATTATTTTTTTTGCTGCAAGCTTATCAAGCGCAAAATTTCAGTAAAAAAAACTTCACTATAGTACAGGTTGGGGCCCAAAAATTTCAAAAAGATGCCAATCTTTTGGTAAATATAACAGATGAAGTTGCACCGAGTCAATAGACACCAAACATGTCAATTGTAAGAAATCGCGTGCACCTGTCAAACGGCGATAAAGGTCAACCCCTCCCCCCCATTACTGTATGAACCACTGATGTATTATACATGGTGATCTTACCCCCTATTAATCTCCTCTTCTCTTTGGGACACTGCCGAAAAACAGTCTCTTTACAGCAGTGGCATGTCCCTGTGATCACATGATCAGCAGCTGATGATGTTACAGTGGGGAGTAGAGGCTAGAAATAGAATGTAGGTATCTGCACAGTGCAGGGGTCATTTGCTCCCGCAGAGTTCTTGTGAGAGGACGTGCAGCGTGCGTTCTCTGCTCATTTTGGCGATTGTTTGGATTACCTGAGCATTTTCTGTAAAGAGCTGATTTTGGTGATTTTTGTGTTTGGATTAGCTGAGCGATTTCTGTAAAGCGCTGATTTTGGTGATTCTTTGGATTAGCCGAGCGATTTCTGTAAAGCGCTGATTTTGGTGATTCTTTGGATTAGCTGAGCGATTTCTGTAAAGCGCTGATTTTGGCGATTGTTTGGATTAGCTGAGCGATTTCTGTAAAGCGCTGATTTTGGTGATTCTTTGGATTAGCCGAGCGATTTCTGTAAAGCGCTGATTTTGGTGATTCTTTGGATTAGCCGAGCGATTTCTGTAAAGCGCTGATTTTGGTGATTCTTTGGATTACCCGAGCGATTTCTGTAAAGCGCTGATTTTGGCGATTTTTTGTCATTCGGTTAGCTGTGTGTTGTCAGTGAAGAGTTGTTATTGGCAATTATTTGCGAGGATTAGCAGATTTTTCCCTCTTTCCACCTATACTTCTCTTGTTGTTTTTGAGTGTTTTTTGTTTTTTCTTGTATCCTTCGTTAATTATTTCACTGAGAGCCGTCAGTCATTTGATAATGAGAGCCGTGCGCCGCGTGCGAAGGCAGCAGGAGCATTTTGCTCCAGGGGTGTTACCCCAGATTAGTACCGGAATATCCAAATTATCCAGACCTCAAAAACAAATAGAACCCGATTCATGCCCAGAACTTCATCAGGTGGATCATCCTGAGATACAAACTAGAACCCATACCGAGGTGCCCACAAGAGTTCCTCGCACTCCAGGAGCCTCGGAAGCCACGCCTCCTGCTCAGGAGAAGCTCTCGAATAAGAGCTGCGAGGAGAAAGAATGATGGTGGCGAATGTGACATCTCAGCAAAAAATACCTGACTCCCAGCTGTCCGATGAAGGGCATCCTCAACCAGAAACCACAAAACCAGAGAGACAGACCAGAAGCAATAGGAAGGTGTCAACAAGAGTTCCTCGCACTCCAGGAGCCTCAGAAGCCACACCTCCTGTGCTCAGGAGAAGCTCTTGAATAAGAGCTGCGTGGAGAAAGAATGATGGTGGCGAATGTGACATCTCAGCAAAAATACCTGACTCCCAGCTGTCTGATGATGGGCTTCCTCAACCAAAAGCCACAAAACCAGAGAGACAGACCAGAACCAATAGGAAGGTGTCAACAAGGAGTTCCCCGCACTCCAGGAGCTGCAGAAGCCAAGGCCCCTGGGACCAGAAGAGCTGCAAAGAGGAAGAATGATGGTGAAGAACGTGATATCCCAGAAAGAATCCCGGCTATTTACTCCCAGCTGTCTCAAGATTGGCTTCCTCAAGCAGTAGCCAAGAAATTAAGCAGAAACTAAAATCCACACAGAGGTGCCAACAAGAGTTCTCCATACTCCAGGACCCTTGGAAGCCATACCTCCTGTGATCAACAAAGAGCAGGAAGCCTTACCTCGAAGAAGAGCTGCAAAGAGGAAGAACGATGGTGAAGAACGTGACATCCCAGAAAAAATCCCAGCTATTGACTCCCATCTGTCTCAAGATTGGCTTCCTCAAGCAGTAGCCAAGAAATCTAAGCAGAAACTAAAATCCACACAGAGGTGCCAACAAGAGTTCTCCATACTCCAGGACCCGTGGAAGCCATACCTCCTGTGATCAACAAAGAGCAGGAAGCCTTACCTCGAAGAAGAGCTGCAAAGAGGAAGAACGATGGTGAAGAATGCGACATCCCAGAAAACATCCCAGCTATTGACTCCCATCTGTCTCAAGATTGGCTTCCTCAAGCAGTAGCCAAGAAATCTAAGCAGAAACTAAAATCCACACAGAGGTGCCAACAAGAGTTCTCCATACTCCAGGACCCTTGGAAGCCATACCTCCTGTGATCAACAAAGAGCAGGAAGCCTTACCTCGAAGAAGAGCTGCAAAGAGGAAGAACGTGACATCCCAGAAAAAATCCCGGCTATTGACTCCCATCTGTCTCAAGATTGGCTTCCTCAAGCAGTAGCCAAGAAATCTAAGCAGAAACTAAAATCCACACAGAGGTGCCAACAAGAGTTCTCCATACTCCAGGACCCTTGGAAGCCATACCTCCTGTGATCAACAAAGAGCAGGAAGCCTTACCTCGAAGAAGAGCTGCAAAGAGGAAGAACGTGACATCCCAGAAAAAATCCCGGCTATTGACTCCCAGCTGTCTCAAGATTGGCTTCCTCAACTAGTAGCCAAGAAATCTAAGACAGAAACTAAAATCCACACAGAGGTGCCAACAAGAGTCCTCCATACTCCAGGACCCTTGGAAGCCATACCTCCTGTGATCAACAAAGAGCAGGAAGCCTTACCTCGAAGAAGAGCTGCAAAGAGGAAGAATGAAAGTGACATATGTGACATCCCAGCAAAAACATTTTTCCTTCACTCCCAGTTGTCTGACGATTGGCTTCCTCACCTCAACTTAACATTCGATTTCAAATATACCTTTCATTCACCTTACGGTTTGCCGGTTGGAGTCTGCCACGCGGCAACTACTCTATTGCGAAAGCAATTTGAGGCAGTGCCCGGTGCCCGAGCTGTAAGATTCGTATGCGAGAAAGCAACTCGAGTGTCAGGACCAACCGTTCAGGTTCATATATGCACGGAACGTGGTCATGCCTTTACATCCTGTTATTCAGGAGGCAAAGTGATGGTCGCTGACTCCATTATACGGGGTTGTCCAAATTTTGGAGGCAACACCTGGAGGCAACTCAAGAAAAGCTATAGGGCCAAAGTAAAAAATCTAAAGCGCTACATAAAGATATTAAATGTGCAAATACCACCTTTGAAGAATACAGACTGTGTTGTATATGCAATAACAAATGCCTACGAACTCCTCACACCAGATGGCAATCCCACCTGCCAGTACAGGCGAGAATACATGAGGTTGCACCTAGAAACATGTCTACAGAATGGAGTCATTACGGAATTCCCAAAGAT